CAATCCAGGTGAGGCAGTGGCTGTACTGAACCGGTGCCTGGCCGAGGTAATGGGCTGGATGAGGGCCAATAAACTGAAGCTCAATCCAGACAAGACAGGGGTCCTGTTGGTGGGTGGTTCAAGCTCCAGGGTAGGTGACTTGGACCTTGTCCTGAATGGGGTTGCACTCCCTCTAAAGGACAGGGTCCACAGCTTGGGAGTGCTCCTCGACCTGGAGCTGTCTTTGGAAGCTCAGGTGACTGCAGTGGTGAGGAGCGCTTTCCTTCAACTTTGGTTGATCCATCAGCTGCACCTAGAGAACGATTGCCTGGCGACAGTGACGCATGCATTGGTTACTTCTCAGTTGGATTTCTGTAATGCGCTCTACGTGGGGCTGCCCTTGAAGACAGTCCGGATACTTCAGATGGTGCAAAATAGAGCTGCCAGGTTGCTGACGGGGACTGGGCGTTACTCGCCTATAACCCCAGTCCTCCACCAGCTTCACTGGCTCCCCATCGAAGTCCGGGCTCAATTCAAGGTGCTGGTTATTACCTACAAAGCCCTTAACGGCTTGGGACCTGGATACCTAAAGGAATGCCTGCTTCCTTATTTGCCCTCCCACCCCTTGAGATTGGTGGCAGAGGCCCTCCTCCAGGAACCCTCCTTGAAAGATATTAGGAGGGTGAGTACCTGGAGGAGGGCTTTCTCTGCGGTGGCGCCCCACTTATGGAATGCGCTCCCCAGAGAGGTACACCTGGCGCCATCGTTATTTGTTTTTCGGCACCAGACCAAGACCTTTTTATTTAAACGATATTTTAATAATTGTTCATATTATTTATTGGTTTTAAATTTTTAGCCAGGATGAATCCAGATTTTTATATATATTTATCTGTAGGACTGTTTATTTATGATGTTGGAAGCCGTCCCGAGGCTTATGCAAATGGGACGGCATACAAAATTTCCAAATAAATAAACAGGTTTCTATTGGGTTCCCTTGTTCTATATCGGGGTAGTCACACTTTTCCACCAGAGGGTCAGTTGAAAGGTGCCAGGGCTGGGTGCAGGCCGGAAAGGTGGTGCGCCTGGGCCAGGGCGGGGGCGGGGTGCCCAACAAGGCAAGGTGAGGCGAGGTGCAGGCAGGGGAGGGCCTGCGCCACGAGGCGGGCACACAAGGCAGCAGCTTGCTTGCTTGCTTGGAGATCGTTTTCTCTCAACAAGCAAACCGCTGCCTCCGGCATGCGAGGTGAGGCGGGTGGTGGCGGGGTGGGGCGCGTATGCGGCAGGCCCAAATGGGCATGGCGGGCCGGATCCAGCCCCGGGCCATAGTTTGAGGACTCAGGTTCTCTATGTTTCCATTGCTTTTTCCTTTATATCCACAGTTTTAGGCCAAAGTTTTCATTTCAAACTTAGTTCTTCAATTCTATGTTTCATCTTTCGATACTGTCTTTCTGTTCATAATGTTTAATAATTGGGGTTTTTTTTACACAATAAACCGTTTGGTCGTTATACTGCTGGAAAATCCTTTGAATTTTAGTGTGAATGATGGCTTGTCTATCAAAATTGTTCATTAATTTTTTTCATCAAATCCTTATCTCATTAATTTCCCCACTCTGTTCTCATATATTTTAATTTCAATGATACTGTGAAATGCTTGCACTGAAGTTTTTATATTTACAGTCAATCTTTCTTCAAATTAATTAAATTTGCACACATTTTATGAACTCTGCATTTAAGCTTATCTGAGCCTTTTCCCCTTCTCAGACTAGGTTTTCATAATTTCTAGCACCCATAACTAAATAAACTTACAATTTCCAAAATGATGAGCATATATTCTAAGAAGAATATAAAAACACCCTTGATAATAAGACAAGATTATTTACATATTACTTATACTTGACATTTGATCAAGCTGTGTATAAATTCATAATATTCACTAATTTGACTTCACTAATTGACATTTCTGTTTTGTAGTTAAATAGTTATAGCATTCAGTGGAACATGCTGATGGGAAGTTAGTTGAAACCTTTATGAAGAAAAAGAGAAGGATTCAATGGGATAGTTACTAATTGTGTCTAAAAGGTTCAGCACAAATCAGAAGGTTGTTTCAGAATCAGGAGTAGTAGGAAAACGGCACAAAACAATTGTAGTGGACTAGTTACTTGTGAGTTCAGCGCTTCCACTTGGTCAAATTTCATTTACCTCCAGTTCCAAATGAGTAAAGAAAGCAGAGCTAAGTCCTAGATAGGTGAAGTTGTGCCTATTCAAGCCCAAGTCCCCCATGCTTCTCCAGATGATCCTCAGCATACATGGGTGAAAGGGCTTGGTGTGCTGCTGTGGTTCTTCCCTGATTTGCTCTCCAGCGTCTTATAGAAGGGAGTCCACAAGCCCTTCGCTTTGTAAAGGGACACTTAACCCAAACAGTTCCTCCTGGAACTGGCACTTTGCAGTGGCAACCCTGCTGATAGAGAGGATGAGATTGCATTGTTGCTTTATGCAGTAGTTTTAGATACATATAACCAAACAGCCCCTGTAAGTAAGCCTCATTGAATATTTACAAGAAAGGCATGGTATAAATGCTGGACATAAGAAAAATTAATTATTTTTATTTATACTGTGATGTAAAGAATTAGTATGGTGCTGTCATGGTTGATATTTGCAATAATTAAAATTATGTTTTACATTTTGAATTAAATGAAACATAGAAACAAAGAAAACAGAGCAAGTCAGAAGGGGCCTCCCAGGCCATCTAGTCTGACCCCCGGCACCAGCCGGCTCCGCTCACGACATGCCCACCATGTGGACGTCCAGCCTATCCTTGAACACCCTCCCCGATGGGGCCCCAACAACCTCCCGTGGAAGCCCATTCCACACCCTCGGGGTCCTGACTGTCAGGAAGTGCTTCCTGGCATCCAAATGGAAACTTGGCTCCCTGAGCTTTGCTCCGTTGGAGTGCGTCCTGCCTTCCTCTGCAGGGGAGAACAGGTCTCTACCCATCTCCATGTGACTGTTATTGCTCATTACACATGTCACAAACCGCTTTGGGCAAATTTTTGTGAAAATATGAATTAACAGGATGACTGAAATGTATACATTTCTGTCCACAGCATATAAAAAGATTTATTAATGACACCTGGATGGATCGCTATGGCTTTCCACTCCCTCAAGAGACCATCGTATTGCTGTGGTCCTCCATTGTGTCTGTCTATGGTCTCGGAGGACTGTTGGGGAGCGTTTGCTGTGGGTACCTTACAGCAAAATACAGGAAGTGAGTATGTGCATCTTTGTTGTATGTGTGGCCTCCAAGGGCCAGATGTCTGAAATGGAAGCCAGTCACCTGCCCTGGAAGTTGGAAAACTTCATTCAAAACTTGTTGCTTATTCTTCACCATGCAAAAAACCAAAGTAGGTTTCTCCTGTTCTCATATCCACAGATCTGCAAATGAAACTGCCAGCTGGGTCATTTTTTTAATACCTGAAATTCCTGCCTTTAGGCATGGGAATGTGAGTTCTGGGAGGTATTACTCAGCCATAAAGGAAAGGCGCTTTGCATATGTCTCGTGTACTGGTTTGTGGTTGACTGGTTTACTCATTTACTATATGCAGCTTTTAGGGCCTGCCACAGAAAATACAATCAGCACTTGTGCGGCAGTTTGGGGTGAAGTAAAGGTAACCTGAATGGGTGTGTACTTGCCTGTCCATCACTTTACAAGGAGGTTACATGTGTTTTCTCATCCAGGACAATTTTGCTGCATTTGATTCTTGCAGTACTTTGAGGTGCAAACCAGGGAAAGATGTTCAGCAGCATTCGCAGGATGCATGCTCACCCCATACCGTATTGCATGTGTAAGGTTCTTTGAATTCCACTTGGTAAAAGGCCACATCACAAGACCAGTGTGATGCCTCCTCCCGGCTGGGCATATCATGCTATTGTAGTGGTGATGCTATTGCCCCAAAAACTCATTTGAAAAAACTCATGAGAAGATTTTTCTCCTGCTGGTCACTCATTTCATTGCAGGAAAAAATGTCAAATGTTAACCAATGGAATCATGCTGACTGCGGCACTGTCCATGGGTTTCAGCAAGAGGGCCAGATCCTTTGAAATGATCTTCCTTGGGCGCCTCCTCTATGGAATTGGCATTGGTAAGTAGAGAGCAGCAATACAACTGCCCCAACACAGAGCGCAAATCTTCAAGGAGAAGGGGTGGCGCTGATGGCCAGCTATTCCAGAGGTTGCACTTGGCTCAAGGACGTGAAAAGGGTGAGATTCATGGCTCTCCCACAGGCGTCCCTTCCTTCCCTGTGCAGGCTCTGGGCTCGCTTACATTTCCCCTCCATGTTGCGCTCAGCCATAAAGAGACAAGCCGAGCGGAGCCATGTGTGCATCCAGTGTCCGAGCTCAAAGATGCCTGGGCCGCAGGGAGAAGCCAGGACCTGCTGAGCCAGGACCTGGGTGTGTTCTGAACCATGTGAGGGGCCAGTTCATCAGGTGCAAGAGAGGAAAAACAGTTTGTGCTGACTTCATCTTAGATAACAACAGAGATGTCAGATTGTTCTCTCTTCATTGTGTGCTTTTGTTTATTTTAAGGGTTTGCTTTTAATATACACCCTCAATATGTGGGAGAGATTTCACCAAAGAAGCTGCGTGGATTTACCAATGCCACAGTGGCTGTTTTTCTGACACTAGGAAAAGTTGCAGGACAAATTATTGGTCTTGGGTAAGTGCACCTGTTCAGAGGTATCTATAGCACCCAGAGGCTGATGGGGCAGAGAATGGGTGGCACCCTTTTTCAATCTCCAGTGGCACTTCTGTTAAATCCCAGTAGCCCATACCAGAGAAGTGGGAAGCTGAGGTAAATGAACCTAAAGGTAATATGTGCAGAGAGAAGGGGGGAAGAGCCACACAGCCACTCCCATTGCAGAGAGCAGGGCTCTTCAGACATTTTAAACAGGGGGCCAGTTCACTGTGTTGTGGGAGCGGACTATAGTTTGAAAAAACTATGGGTGAATTCCTATGCACACTCGATATTAAAAATTAATTATAATTAAATGAAAATTTAAAAATAATTTAAAAATTAAAAATGTTTGCTCCACTCACATGGGCTGCAGCAGACACCCAAGATGAAGTGGGGAAGAGCATGCCCATATTCAAGGGACATGCTACAATGTCTGCAATCATGCTGGGGGGGAGGGGAGATGGGCGCGATCACAGGCGCACTTGTGCAGGGAAGGCGGACAGGATCACAGCCATCTCCCCCACCAAGCACAGCTGCAGTCGCGGCCATCTCCCCCCCACCCCCCAGCAAGATCATGGAGGGCAGACGGGCGCGATCGCGGGCATGCTCGTGCAGGGAAACATAGAAACAGAGTGAGACAGAAGGGGGCTCCCAGGCCATCTAGTCTGACCCCCGGCCCCAGCCCGCTCCGCTCACGACATGCCCACCATGTGGACATCCAGCCTATCCTTGAACACCCGCACCGATGGGGCCTTAACCACCTCCCGTGGGAGCCCATTCCACACCCTCGGGGTCCTAACTGTCAGGAAGTGCTTCCTGGCATCTGAATTGAACCTTGGCTCCCTGAGCTTTGCTCCGCTGGAGCACGTCCTTCCTTCCTCTGCAGGGGAGAACAGGTCTCTACCCACCTCCGTGTGACATCTCCTCACATACCTGTATGTCGCCAACAGATCCCCTCTGAGTCTCTTCTTCTCCAGGCTGAAAAGGTCCAGTTTCCTCATTCTCTGTTGAGGTGCAACTCAACATGTAAACAACCCAACTGAAGTCCTTTATTGCTACTTATCTACAAGTTTTACAACTCTACAGATAAGCTCTGTTGTTGAGGTCTTTGCAATGCAGATGCTAATCCTTTAGTGGTGTCTCTCTTACTAGCTCTCCTGGCCCCGCCTTTCTTCTCTCTGGTGTAACAAGGCTTGCCTTTGTTCCCACCTCCTCAGAATTCTGCAATTGGTTGATAGGGAACAGTCTATCACGCCCCCTGCGCCACTTCTGGCTATGCAACCAAGGGTGGCGTTCCTTCGCCCTCTTGACCACTCCATCACACTGCTGACTCATGTTTAGCCTAAGTGGAATGTGAACATAGAGGGTATCACCTTTTTAGAAAGGACAGGAAGGGAAAGGGGGGGGCATGGCTTAATACGGCAGGGAAGGGATAGGATGCAGTGAGATAGAATGCAGCACAGATGGGGATTCGGTAGAGGCAGTCTGGGTGAAACTTGACAGGGAAAGAGACCTCACAGTGGGGGTATGTTATCACCCTCCAGGTCAACTTGACACCCTGGATGAAATCCTGACAGACCAGATTCTAAGGATATCTTGGGGGAGAGACACAATAATTATGGGAGATTTCAATCTCCCGGATATTACTTGGGAGACTCACTCGGTGGTGACAGCCAGGTCACGTCGCTTCCTAGAAGCTATAGAGGGAGGGTTTTTCACACAGAGGGTCCGAGAGGTGACGAGGGGGGGGAACATCCTTGACTTGGTCTTGACCGATAGAGAGGAGCTTATAGATGAAGTACAGATTAGGGGAGCTCTGGATGCGAGTGATCACTCCATCCTTTGCTTTGAGATCAGGGGACTGCGGATGGGCAACAGGTCGAGCACTAGAAGCTGGGACTTCAAGAGGGCCAACTCTGGCCAACTGAAGGCCAGACTGGGGAAAGTCTCCTGGGATGGGTTACTGGAAGGTAAGCGAGTTGAGGAGGGGTGGATGACACTCAAAAGGGAGGTTATGGAGGAGCAAGTTTTGACAATACGTCTAGTTAGTAAGGCGGGGAGGAGGAGGAGAGTGCTGCCATGGATGCGAAAGGAGGTGGTTAGAGGGATTAGACGAAAGAGGAACCTCCGTAGGAAATGGGTAGTGGGGGAAATAGACAAAAGGGTATACCTGGAGGAGGAGGCCCGTTGCAGAAGGATTCTTCACAAGGCTAAGGCTGATTATGAGCTGAGACTTGCCAAGAATATCAAGAGCAACAAAAAGGGCTTCTTTCAGCATGTAAATAACAAGAGAAACAGGAGACAGGAAGTGGGACCAATTAATAAGGAGGAAGGGGATCCAGTGACTGATGCAAGGGAACAGGCACAGATGGTAAATGACTATATGCCTCTGTGTTCTCCCCAAAGCAGGACAGGGGATATCCGCATAGGAGATTAGATGAGACTGGGGACTTAGGGACACAGATTAGAGTCACCCCCCTTGAAGTCGAGGGGCTCCTCAGGGCATTGGACATCACAAAGGCGCCAGGCCCTGACGGGTTACACCCGAGAGTACTTAGAGTGTTGGCAGGAGTTCTCCCACGCCCGCTGGCCTCTATTTTTGAGGCCTCGTGGAGAATGGGTGAAGTTCCAGAGGACTCGAGGGTGGCATCAGTGGTCCCAATTTTCAAAAAGGGTAGTAGAAGAGACATGGGGAATTACAGAGCAGTTAGCCTTACGTCCATTGTAGGAAAAACAATGGAAAGGCTCATAATAGCGAGAGATCTAGTGATACCAGATAGGGAAGGGAGGCTGGCAGCCACACAACACGGCTTCCGCAAAAACAGGTCCTGCCAGACAAACCTTGTGGAATTCTGTGGCAAGGTTTCGAGATGGCTAGATGGGGGGATGCAGTGGATGTGGTTTACCAGGATTTCAGCAAGGCCTTTGACAAAGTGCCCCATGATATCCTGGTGGAGAATCTGAGCAGTTTTGGGATACACCAAAGCACTGTCCGGTGGATTAGGGCATGGTTGACTGACCGAAAGCAGAGGGGAATCCCCATTAGTGGGGAATTGTCGGGATGGTGGCCAGAGACAAGCGGGGTCCCCCAGGGCTCTGTCCTAGGGCTGATCCTGTTTAATCTTTTCATTAACGACATGGAAGAAGGAGTGAACAGTCTGCTGATCAAATTCGCAGACGATACTAAAACTGGAGCAGTGGCCACAACTGAGGAGCAGGTGATCCAGATCCAAAAGGATCTGGACAGACTATGGAAGTGGGCAGGAGACAACAGGATGGTATTCAATGTGGATCAGTGCAAGGTCTTGCACTTGGGGCATAGGAATAGGTGTCATAAGTACAGGTTAGGGGACAAGTGGCTGGAGAGCAGCACTTGTGAAAGGGACCTCGGGGTGCCGGTTGACTGCAGGCTAGACAAGAGTCAGCCGTGTGATGCGGTGGTCAAGAGGGCGAACGCCACCCTTCTGCATAGCCAGAAGTGTGGCTTCTAGATCAAGAGAGGTATTACTACCACTCTACACGACTCTGGTGCGCCCACAACTGGAGTATTGTGTTCAGTTTTGGGCCCCTCATTACAGAAAGGATATAGCCTGGTTACAGTCAGTGCAGTGTAGGGCCACAAGGTTGGTGGGTGGTTTGCAGGGGATGGGGGATGAGGCGAGACTGAGGGAACTGGGTCTCTTCAGCCTGGAGAAGAGGAGACTCAGAGGGGATCTGTTGGCAACATGCAGGTATGTGAGGGGATGTCACACAGACGTGAGTAGAGACCTGTTCTCCCCTGCAGAGGAAGGCAGGACGCGCTCCAACGGAGCAAAGCTCAGGGAGCCAAGGTTCCATTTGGATGCCAGGAAGCACTTCCTGACAGTCAGGACCCCAAGGGTGTGCAATGGGCTTCCATGAGAGGTCATTGCGACCCCATCGGTGAGGGTGTTCAAAGACAGGCTGGACATGCACATGGAGGGCATGTCGTGAGCGGAGCCGGCTGGAGCCGGGGGTCAGACTAGATGGGCCGGGAGACCCCTTCAGACTCGTTCTGTTTCTATGTTTCTAAACAGGTGATACCCTTCTATGTTTACATTCCAGTCTTGCCTTTCATCCCACCAAGTTTCCATGATCCCCACCAGGTTATATCCTCTTATTCCCTGGAGAGCTTCAAGCTCTTCCTGCTTATTACCCTTGCTCCTAGCATTGGTGTACATGCACCTCAACTCCTTCCTACAGCTTCCTTTCTTTGGAGTCCCCAGCCTCCTCCTTCCTCCCATCTTTCCCGATACCAGCCCTCTCTTTTTAGGAGTCCAGTCAGTCCCTGCAGTACCTCTAAAACCCTGGTCCCAGAGCCCTCATCCTCTCCCCACACTTGTCCAGTGCAGACACATTTCTGGGGGGCCTGACTCCCCCCCACCGGCTCAGTTTAAAGTCTTCTGGACGAAGCTCCAGAGGACCTTTTCCCCACCCTCAGGAGGTGCAACCGTCTCTTGCCAGAAGTCTATTGGCAAGAAACCAGGTGCCCTGGTCGAGGAACCCGAAGTGACCCTCCAATCCCTGCCCGGCCCAGATCCCCAGACCGGTTAGATAGATGAGAAGGCCACTTGGGCCTTAAGGTCCCTGGGTTTCTTCCCCAAAGCCTCGAAATCCCTGATGATCCCACCCACACCCTGCCTGGCTACATCATTTATACCCACATGAATCACCAGAAGCAACTGGTGACCCTCGGAGTAAAGAAGATGATCTACTCTGTCCTTCACATGCCGGATGCATGTGCCCAGCAGGCAACAGACTTCCCTCGCCTCAAGGTCGGGGTGGCACACCACCACCTCAGTGCCCCTCAGCAGAGAGTCCCCGATGATGATCACCCACCGCCATCTGCTCGTGGTGGTGGGCAGCCGTGCCCTGGCCCTCACCTCTCTGCAGTGGCCCCCTTGCCACATATGGCCCCAGGCTGGGGGGGTCTTGCTGGTCCCCCAAGGCCTCATCAGCCCCAG